TAAAAATTGAAGTTTATGCATTGGATATGTAAATATATAAGAACTAAGTGGTTTCTATTTAAAAAAAAAGTCATACGAGTCTTGTTCCATGCCTGGAAATGCCACGAACCAAACCCCAGCTATAGCCAGCAGATGCAGATTGCATGAATCCATGATTGAAGCCCTCTTGAGCAGAAGCTTCTTTTCCTGCAGTAATGCCGTCTCGAAAGCCCATCTATGAATTCTCAAGGAAGACGGAAATAACATGAACTTACGACAGTTTGTAACGCTCGTAATAGAGCAGCAAGTTTTTTAAGGAAAAAAATAAAAGGCAATTACATACATACTACCCAATACCTATGAATTTACATATCCAACACCTAAACTTCAGTTTTTACCCATATACCAACCAAATCTTTCACATCACATAAAAAATCCCACCACTTGGCTTTGAAAAAGTGAAATACACCTTTTCATGCATGGGTAAAATGGCATGCATGTAACTAAAAATTAAAGTAGAGGTGTTAGATATGTATGAAAAGTGAAATTGTATGCTAAGTATGCAAATTTCCCGAAATAATCATAATAATAATAAGGATATTGTATGAAATTGGCTGTGCCTCCTTTCCCACTCCCTGTTTAAGATGGATGAGTCACTTGAATCCTTATTATCGACGAGGTAAATATCATCTTCATCCCATATGTCGGTTGAATCATAATCTAAAAAGAAATCAAATAATCAATAAAATGTATCGGTTTATTTAAGATACTTCAAAAAATGAGTCTAATGCAAATCACAATGTAGATAAAAACAAATCAATAGAAGAAAAAAAGAATTTAACATTATTATCATTAGATTTGTCAAAACTATTTAGAGCTAGATGTATGTATGCTAATTCTCCATTCATTAGGACTTGCTATATCATAAGAGGTATTGAACTTGCATTACACATATTTTTGGACAACCTCAATTTATGTGACGTTTCATCTCTCTTTTTAACCTTATGCTTCGACTTTAATTTCACCCCAGGTTTAGAAAATCAAATTGGACCAGCTAGTTCGATCTGTTCGATCATGAATTGGCCACAAGTCTGGTTCAGACTGGCATTAAAAACCCCTCCCACATAGAACCGCCCCAAAACCGGACTGAATCGGTGGTTCAACCCTTGAACCGACAAACTGGCTCCAGTTCTAAGCAACTCTCTCTAATCTTGTCTGCCACTAAAGCTACACCAACCCTTTCACGGATAAACTCATTTCGCATTTTTTCTCTTAAGTGTCAAGCCGCTCATCCACCTAAGCATTCTCATCTCAGCAACATTTAATTTGGGAATGTTGTATAAAAAAGCAATCTTAATTTATTAGAACTAAATGAAAATATGACACTTAATAACATACAATGGAGAAAAAAGATTCATGTTGCTGACCCCGCTTAGAGGGATAAGGGCTTGTTATTTGTCGTTGTTGTCAAAGTTTTGAGAAAAATAGACTGGATTCTGAATAAGCTCGATGACTTTTCCTTTTGCTTTCATTCCATTAAATAATAATCTTACAATCTATTTTAGACACAAAATATTTTGCATAATCTATTTTAGGTAACCTAATAATACATATTCCTAATTTAAATATTCAGCTAAAAGGGAAATAAATCATAATAAAGACATTGGAAGTAATTTAAATAAGGAAGCTCCTAATTATAAAAAACTCATAATTTAGCTGCTTGATTTTCGTCTTTCCTGATTAACATCCTCCCTCAAATTGATGCTGACTGATCATGAAACATCAAATTGCCAATAAGAAATTGATAACAATGTAGAAACCAAAAATTCTCAAGCCGTGAGTACCGAAGCCGAATGTGCCGAAGTCGAGAATGCTGAAGTCTTAGAGAACATCTGAACCATAACATGATTTGAGCAAAGAAAAAAAAGAAATCTTTTATCATTGTCATCCAGAAATTCGAATCATAGCCACAAGAAGGATTCGCTTTCAGTTACACAATCCAAATGCTACCGATCATAACCCACAAATAAGATCTAATTACACGATTCCGATGCTATCAATCATAGCCTACAAGTAAATCATAACCCACAAATAAGATCTAATTACACGATTCTGATGCTATCAATCATAGCCTACAAGTAAGATCCATGTCCTGATCCAAATGCTACCGATCATAGCCCACAAATATGATCCAGTTACACGACTCATATGCTATCAATTATAGCCTAAAACTAGGATTCGCGCTTTGATCCAAATGCTACCGATCATAGCCCATAAATAGGATCCAGTTACACAATCCAGGTGCTATCGATCATAGCCTGCAAGTAGAATCTGTATCCTGATCCAGATGCTATCGATCATAGCCCATAAATAAGATCTCGTTACACAATCCAGATGCTATCGATCATAGCCTACAAGAAGGATCCACCTCCTGATCCAGATGCTACAGATCATAACTCACAAGTAGGATCTGTGTCCTGATCTACGATCCAAATGCTATTTATTATTCCTGCGATGACGAGGACGATTTGTTCTCTGATCTTCACGCCAAAAGTGCTAAAGTCGAGATGTAAAACTGTGGGTCTAGGAAGAAGTGTCGAAGCCTTGGGTGTGACGAAGAAGCCAAAGTCAAAGCGGACGAAGCCGAAGCGGAAGAAGCAGTCGAAGATGCTGCAGAAGCAGCGATGGCTAGTGAAGGAGATTCGAAGCGGACGAAGCAAACGAGATAGTAGATTGCGGATGAGATTTGAATCACATACGAGATAACAAATGGACGGAATCACAAATCGTAAGTGGAATCAAACGCGAGAGACGAAACCAAAAGCGGGAGATAGAATAAGGCGATTGAAGATAGAAGAAGTTGTCGCAGATGATGAAAATCCTTAGATGGGCGAATCAGGCAAACAAATAGTTCCTCCCTTCCTGCAAGAAGGCCGACGGGAAGGGAGGCTCGACGGTCCTCCAACAACTACTGGTTGTTAGGAGAAAAATTTGCCTTTGATACCATGTCAATATTCTGAGAAAAATAGACAGAATTCTGAATAGGCTTGATGTCTTTTCCTTCTGTTTTAATTCCATTAAATAATAATGTAACAATCTATTTTAGGTACAAAATATTCTACATAATCTATTTTAGGGAACCTAATAATAAATATTTCTAATCTAAATATTCAGCTAAAAGGGAAATAAATCATAATAAAGACATTGAAAATAATTTAAATAAGAAAGATCTTAATTATAAAAAACTCCTAATTTAACTGTCTGATTTTCGTCATTCCTGAGTGACAGTTGTTCTACAAATAACAAAACCAATTGTTTATTTTGTGAAGTGGGATTAACGAAAAAAAAATTAAGTTGTTTATAAAATAACAAATATAATTCATTGTAAATTACTTCAAAGAAATTCAATTTACATACATGCCACCAAATTTTATGTAAATATCAGGGCATTTACATACGACCTAATTTAATGTAATTTACATATCTAACACCTAAACTCTATTTTTAATATTTTACAACCTAAATCACTCATATCACATCAAAAATATCACTATTACAAAGAAATTCAATTTACATACATACCACCCAATTTTATTTATTTACATATCCAACACCTAAACTCAATGTTTTTACATTTATACCACCAAAATCATCTATATCACATATCATCTATATCACATAAAACCATATAACTATTTTAATTTTTAAAAAGTGAAATACACCTGTTCATGCATAGATAAAATGACATGTTAAAAATGAATTTTAGGTGTAAGATATTTATATATATTTATGATTTATTAGGTTATCCGATTGAACCACCGATTCAACCCCGATTCAACGTTTGAACATTTAACCACTTCTTCTACCGGTTCAATGTCAATATGATTTGAGAAACTTAATTTTAACTATCTATCTGATGAGAGTATTTTCTAACTTCAGTAGCCCTGTTTAAATCACATAATATATATTTTCACTATTTTATATATAATAGTTGGAACTTCTACCATCACTGATTCATATGATTCCAAATTAATTACTTAATAAAAATTAAATCTTCATGATACCCTCTTTTTGCATGAACCCTTTAAGGCATTTTCCATTTTAACTAGCCAATGTTAACTCTATATGTACAAATTTAGAAGGATTGGCCTCCTTTCAATGATGGACCTAGGACGACCATCAAAGGAGTGATGAATGGATTAATAGAGAAAATTTAGGGAACTCCTTGATTAGCTTTATGTTTAAAATTTAAATCTTCCCATTTATGTTTATTTTAAAATTATTTGCTTTCTATGTTTAGGCTACATATATTTGGTAAGATCACAAATAAGAAGAGACTGGCTTCCCTATATAGGTAGCCTTATGGTTGACAATTGGTAAGTAGAATAAAGTACACCCTCTCACAAATTTATTTTTCATGCTATCAGAGCGAGGAAACAAACCGTAACTCTACTTCAGCAAGCAGGCCCTCCTCTGCTAGCTCCAACAGACGTCTAGGCGCCAAAATCCTCCCTCTAGCCAGCCTGCAGGCCATCCTTTGCTCCTTATCACAGTTGTTGGATGACTCCTACAGTAGTAATCCTCCATCCTTCCGGCATGCAACAACAAGCAACCAACTCCCTTATCCAACCCCAAGCGTACATAAGTGTTTATGATCAAGAAAGGAATTAAGACATTTAGTTCCAATCCAAAGGTTAGCTATGAATCAAAGAACAAAGATTATGTCCAAACAACTCTTGAGCTCTCTGCTATTTTGTGGAACCTGATTGTGGTAGCTAGAGGGTTGTTTGAGCGCACACTTGGTAATAGCACCCTAGGGCCAGTGGAAACATAGCAACGCGGATTCTAGGCTTCTAAAACAAAGCCTTCGACAATCTAACACCCAAGAGTGGTGTCGCTACCCCCTTATTTGTTTGTTTCAAGTTTAAAAAATAGAGAACTAGACAGCTCGAGGACGATGGTCGGCGCTCATGTACCTGTAACTGAATTCTACAATTTAGTGTTTTTATTTCAACATCTCTACGGAAAGACAATCGTTGTGACAAAATGAACGAGCGAATGAGTGCGTGATGTTGGATTTCTATTTTCTTGTCTGATAGAGAAGGGAGAAAATTCCTGAAGTATTATGATATGATGTGAAACTAAAAACAACGTTGATCTAACGAAAGCAAACAAGAAACAATGTTGATCTACTATTCGAGAGGTAGATCGTCACTCCACAAATCCTAAACATCACTAGGAACGCCATGAGAAATGAAAAATTGCAGCAAACATAACCTGAAAACAAACCCTAACCACTTTGCCCTCCTAAATACTCACCAAGATCCTTTTCAAATATTCCCCCAAAAATACCCCTTGATTCCCTTACTCCTGGACGCCATTAGCGGTTTAGTGGGCCCCACTCAATTTTGGGATCGCCCACAACTTTTCCTAGCAAACCCACGTCTCTAGGTCGGGACGACTGGCTTGGCCAAGCTGCCTACTGGTTTGGCTTGGTCTGGCTAGTCTAGGCCAAACCTTCCAAAACCGGAGACAGTACAAGTCGGTCCTCCCAGGACCGATTCACCTACAAAGACGGCTTTCTCGTCGGCTTCCGAAGCAGTAGGCATCCTTTCCTTAAGAGGAGGTGTGCGCGTATCAATACTCATTTCCCAAAGAAACACCTTGTTCTCAAGATGCAAGGATGGAAACTATTTTTGGATCCCTTCATAAGACTCCCA